TGACATAATGAGAATTAGCCTACTATACTTATATTAGGTCAGTTATTTATTGATGAAGGAGGATTTAGAGGTGAGATAAAAGGTTATTAAAACATTGCTATAAAAATCAACAATTTTTGCATTAGGGGAAATTTAATGGTAATCTTAAAAATATATAGCATTTACATAATAACTATAGACTTGTTAAAAATTTCCACTAACATTAAGATTGAAATGAGACTAAGTTGAAATCAAATATCTGACAGAATTTTGCTTATGGTGAGGGCCTAGACATTGGCTTGAATTACCAAGGGTAAATATTCATGAGCATTTATAGAAGCAGTCCAAGAGAATTTTGACTATGCAATATCTAACTGCAAACGTACACAACAGCAAATGCATGAGTAACTAAAGCCTTCATAGTACACTAGTAATTTCTGCCAATCATAAAGCAGCCAGAATCCAACATATGAATTAACAACTAGTTATTGGTCACAGTGTTAAGTTACAACATACATACATTTACTTTGAGAAATTGTAGCATAAAAATTAGGCAAAAGACAATATATAATATAGTTCGGGTAGTCTGCATAGACATAAAAAGATGAGTAATGATGTTTACAACCCAAGGAGTCTATGATTCATAAATCATAATCTAAAATGTAATCCAGAGAACAAATGTGGCTTGTGACTGCATATATATATCAGTAAAGGTCAAGACAATGGAACATCTCCAAGCTAAATTACTCTCTAAAAACAGGGGATGGATCTGAGAGTATCAGGTTTTCTCTGTCACTTGAAGTCTACCAGTAAAATTCCAGCCCCTGTGCCGACTAACTACTAGAGATAATGAGAGATAAGGGAATGTTATTTGAAAATATCTATCATATTTACAATTAATTTTTAATTTGAAGTAGCACATTAGCTTGGGATGGACAATTATAAAATAATTCAAAACTAACCAAGTATTTCTAACAGTGTGACATTATTTATTAGTTCTATGGAAATGATTCTATAGAAGTTTTTTCTAGAGAATTTGGTATAAACTAATATAATAATATTCCTAAAATATGAAAAATGACAGCAAGAATTAACATTTACTGGTACCTTACAGTGCCAGGCATATAGTAATTATCACTTAAAATTTGTTATGATCAGCACATGTCCCATGCACTGTAATAAGAATTACCTTCACCATTTTATAATAATCATCATCACAAATTAGGTATATAAACTCAACAATATACGTTAAATATATAGATGAATGAATGAATGAATGAATGAGTGGAAAAATACAGAGGCTCAGAAAGTTTAAATAACCTGCCTAAGTTCACATGACAGAAGAATTTGAGACTTAAGGTGAGCCTTAAGGGTAGCTTTTTTGTTTTTTATTTATTTGTTTGAGAGAGATGGGAGGGGCATGAGCAGGGAGGAGAGGGAGAATGAGGGGGGGAGTAAGGAGGAGAGGGAGTAGGGAGGAAGGATAAGCAGACTCCCCACTAAACAGGGAGCCTGTTCTGGGTCTCTATCCCAGGACCCTGGGATCATGACCTGAGCTGAAGGCAGACTGTCAAGTAACTGAACCACCCAGGTGCCCCATTAAGGGTAGCTTTTGAATAGGAGAGGAAGACAGACATGCTAAGTATGGAAAACAGCAAGAAAAATAATACACAAACAGAATGAGCCCTAGATGCTTAAGGGGTAAAGAGACAATAAGTACAAGTAGGAAGGGAGTATGTGTGGTGAAGCATTGGAAAGCACATTTTGGTATAGGATGGGGACAGTGCAATTCTTTGAAGTCTAGAAGAAGAGTTTGAACATGATCCAGTGATTGTAAGCAGAGTGACATGAGGAAATTTTTTGCCTGAAAGAAGTGTAAACAGGCAGCATTAGGTAGTATGCATGTGGTGGAAAGAATCTATTTAATATAGGAGGAATTCACAATGGTCTGGATTTTGGTATTCATTACACAGAAAATAAAAAAGATAAGTCTAAGAAATATTTTGAAAGAAAAAAATGGATATAGAAGGAAACAGATTAAGCAATAAAGAAACCAATGTTTAGTGAGAAGATGTATCAGATGATGATTTCATTTAAAAATCAATATAGAATATAGTTTTTCTTCACTAAAAGGAAAAGAAAATAAAACTCGATACCAGTTGGACAAGAGAGAACATTTTCATATGGAGTTTGAGTTGATAATGTTGCTTCCAAATGTAGGCAGTCTGTTCCTATGTCAAAAGATCAGCCTAGTTAGGACACAGGTACAAATCAGCCTTGATTTTTTTTTTTTAAGTCCTGGTATGAAAAAGAAGTATGTGGGAAGAATATAAAAAGCAGACTGGATATAAGAAAGGACCCAAGTTCAAGTTCTGATTGTGAAATTTAACTTAAATAAGTCACTTACCACCTCAAACTGTTTTAAGTGGAGAAAATAGTATCTACCTCACAGTATTTTAAGCGTACAAAGTGAAATGGTCTTGCAAATTGTAAAGCTATATAAAGATACCTTTATACAGTTAAAGTCTTGAGAACCAAAGTGTAGATATTTTAAGCTATGTATTTAAGGACTTTGGAATTGAGACTTCAGTCTTCTTCCCTTGATTGAAGATGCACCCCATACTATGCTACAGAACAAGTAATTCATTATTACAGAATTAAAAGGCCACTTGGTCTGTCTGCTTCTGAGACACAGCAAAAATAATACTGACAAATCCTGACAAAATCTTTGAATAATCATCTTTGGGGTTTGTCTTATTGAGTAAATATAATCTTAACTAGCAAATAAAAGAATAATTTTTGAGTTCAAAAGTTCTCATGGCATATTTACATGAGTAGAGAAGCATCTTAATATTGCTTATTCTTATTCGTTATTAGTCTTCAAACTTGACATTGCATAATACTAAATTATGAAGTGACACATTTAAGCACAGTGACTACTTGATTGAAACATGCATGATAATAAATTCTTGGTTTTTTTTTAAAGCTTTTTAAAGTTACTAATTACACTGAAATAAATAATACTGCCTTAGGAAAAAAAGCTGAAATATAGATGACTGAACAGAGTGCAAGCTCTTAGAGAAGCAGGACGAGGTACATTTTGTGTTCATAGACTATGTTTATAATATCATTATTTTATTTGTAAGGATTAATCTGAAAAAAATATTTTTATCCAATTTATCCACTTTGATTGAATGAGACCTATGGATCTTGGTATTTCTTAAGGAAACTACAACTCAAGTTTGAGTACATAACGACAAGTTGTCTAATATAAATTCCAAATAAGTTGTGATTATATTTTACTTTGCTTCCCCCCCCTTATTTTTGCAGCCTTGTTGAGGTCTGAGCTATTCATTATAGATGTCACAGATACCACATTTCCACTTTTAAAAAGTAGGAAAAGGATTATGTGGAAATTATCCGATTCTCTTCAATATGCCTGAACCTCCCAGACAGGAAGTATTTGTTTTATATTTGCATACTTAGCACCTTGGACAGTGTCGGGCATAAAATAGGCATTTATCTATTCTAGACCAAATGAATACATGAATGTTTTGTCCTATAGATTGCTGGAACTACTAATCACCAGGACTTAAACAGCTTTTTATTTTGCTGTAATTATGTTGTATGCAAACTACTCTTAAATTGTTTTTATTTCATTTTTAATGCAAGATGTTACACTCAGAAAATAAAATCTCTTACACTAAAATTCATGTTAGCGTAAAAAAATAATATATTGACCTCCTTTGTACCTACAAAACCACATATTAATGAATAAATAAGAACAAAATTAGAGCCAAAAATGCCTTTTCTAACGCAGTGTTTACTGTTATTCTCATCTTCAAGTTCACCAAGGAATTCTTTGAGGTGCAAGGGAGACCTCCATACCAACCCCTCCTCCCCAAAAAACACCGGAAGGAAAAATAATTTTCCAGTCGGATTTTAAAAATACTATTGTGGAACAGTATAGATTAGTGTACATTGTAAAGACATATATTCTGAACTCCTTCCTTTCCTCCCTGAATTTCCTTTAATCTCCTATTTTATAAATACACTCTATGATTTCTGTTCACCATATGCACTACTATAAAGATTATGGATTCTAGCAATTGCTTCCTGAATGCACAACAGAAACGAGGATTTAATAAAGGAGAGAAGAGTGTAAACCAAGGGCAACCCCGCTGTAAACGATCTCTGTAAACCGATATTTATTAGGTTTGCACTAAATTGGTGGTGGCATCTCAAGAGCCCTTTGTCTGTGGGACGGTGGGTCTGGCAACCATTAGCTACTCGGGGAAGCAACGTCTGTGACTCCGCCCGGGCTGGGGGTGGGGAGGGTGCACCGCGTGGAGGGCTGTACGAGAATTAAAGTGAGCGAACAAAGAGAACTCCCAGCAGCCGCCTGCCAGCTCCTCGCAGCTGCATCAGGAGACGTCAGTCACGCCCGGGAAGGCTGTTCGAAGACGCCTCCCAGAGAAAAGAGCTCAAGTGAATAATTGATGGAGATTGATCCGCCCAGGACAAAGCTTTGCAGAAAACCAGCGCATCCGATTTCGAGCGGTTTTGGAATCCTCTGCCAAGTACAGGATATGGGAGCGAAGCAAGGACTTGGAGCGCGGCTACAGATCTTCCATCTCGGGTGTGGCTCCGGCCTTTTTGTCTTCTAGCCACCTCCCCTGTCACCCCCTCCTTCCTCCACCCCCCGGCCCGTCCCCGCCTTCTTCTCTTCCCTTATGAAAGTAGCCTCTCTTTGGTTACTTCTACCCTATCCTCCCTTGCAGTCCCGCCCTCTCCCCTGCCCAGTCCGGTGAGGTCAGCTCATGAATATCAGTGCACTTCCTGAGGAGCGTCTGGCACCGCTTGGTACCTCGCATGTTCGCCGGCTTGGAGCCGCAGCTCAGCCGAGTCGCGGACCACGGGAAGTAACTGGCTCTGGAAGCCGCCGAGCCTGCAAGTTAACGCCATTGTCTGGAGAAATCGAGTGGGTGTGGAACTGGGGCGAGAGGGCCCAAAGTCGTGCTCAGCCAAAAAGTCGCATATAATACTACGAAGTTAAACTTTCCTTTTAAAAGACGTAAAAATAAACCCTGAAGTCGCCGGAGGATCATAAGGAAAACGCTGTTGATGCAACTTCGAAACATCGCGTCTGCAGAGAAGTGAGCAGTTCTTCTGGATTTCTAAAGGGATGGGGATGAGAGATGGGGTGGGTCAGTGGGCAGATAAAATTTGAGATTAAAATTGTTGTTTTGTGCCCATCCGGGGTTGCTTGGTTGGCGATTTCCACGGGGGAAGCCTTGCAGAGGCACAGCATCTTGTCACTTTGTGAGAATCACGTGACCGCATGGTACCTTTGATTGTGGGAGCCGAGTTCCTGAGCTTTCTCCTGGGTTAGAGCTGTCTGGGAGCCGAATTTAAACGTTGTCAGGGGACTCTCAGCTCCTAAGTGATTATGCCTAATTCAAAAACTAAAATAAGGTTGCATTGGCAATATAGCTTGGTTAAGTGGTCCGCATTAGTATGACCCATGCCGTTGAACTAGACCAGACATTCTAGGAGGATGTGGCTCCGAAGAACGTGTAGAAAATAAGTTGGTGGATAACTTTTTTCCCCTTAGTGACTTCTTTTTTTTTTTTTTTTTTTTTTTTTAAGATTTTATTTATTTATTTGACAGAGAGATCACAAGCAGGCAGAGAGGCAGGCAGAGAGAGGGGAGGAAGCAGGCTCCCCTAGAGAGCAGAGAGCCCGATGCGGGGCTCGATCCCAGGACTCTGAGATCATGACCTGAGCCGAAGGCAGCGGCTTAACCCACTGAGCCACCCAGGCGCCCCTCCCCTTAGTGACTTCTTTGTTCGCCATTATTTTTTAAACAGTTGGGGGAGATCCCAAAAGAGAAAGTCAGGGGCAGAAGGAAACTTCCAGTAATATTTCTTCATAAAATGAGGAATTGCTGCATGTTCACTAAGTTATGATATTTAAAATGGACAATAACAGGAATAATGCTAGTAAAATAACTGGCAAGCATCTCTTCTCCTAATAGGAGGATTTTTTTTTTTTTTTTAAGCAGAACTTTCTGCCTAGTCATACCCCTTTCGGTGCTTTAAAGAGAGATGGTAGCTCTAAGGGAAAAGCATCAAACTGACAGTCGACCAGGTAGCTGGATCACTAGGCAGAAGAACCCAGGAGGCAATGGCTTGCTATTTTCCAGATTTTAAAAGCTAGTGATGGATTTATCTTGGAAAAAATACACAATAGAGGTTTATCTTGCCACCATGAGTAAGGATGCACCAGGTTTCTTGGCTGGAGGGTCATTCTGTCTCAGAATTTGGCTCCATAGAAGGAATCCGGCACTTTAAAAGTACAACTTTACCTATGATATAAACTTAACCTGTGATATATAACATATAATAAGATGTTTAAGAATGAAAATATCTTCTATCTGGCAATTACACTTAAAACTAAAATGACTCACAAGAACTATAAATTCTGATAAATGTAGAAGTCATCACGTGTAACTTAAGACATTGTGCAGGGCTGGAAATAAACTTTTCCAAAAGTATTTTAAAAAATGTTTACCAAAGCTTAAAGAAGAATGCTTTTACGGTTACTAATAACTAAACCATCTAGATGATCCTGAATGCCGTTACTTTCTTAAAATGAAGTTGATTTAAAAACCACTCATTACTTTTGTCTTATTTCTAGTCTAAAAGAAAATGGGTGAATTTCTCTAACCAAGAACAACAATAAGAGTCAGACATGTCTGCGAAATGTATCCATAGCAAATTTCCTGTAGGAACCTACACTCCTACCTTTCCTGTAGGAACCTTTCCTTTCATTGAGAATAGTAATTAAATAAAATGTTCTCTACTAAACTAGGTTTTAAAATGCGGATTCAATAAGGAGGAAAACCAAAGTTGAAAAAGCAGGGTATTCAACTCTAGCATGTGGACTTCTTTTCCTTCTGAAGCTTCTTCCTGACTTTATCCCCTCATCTTTTTTTTTTTAATTCTCCCTTCCCATCAATTCCTTTCTGACCCATATCTCACCATTGCCAGAACCTGCTACTGTGAGAATTTTAGGTTCAGCTGCTTTCCGATCATCATCATTTTACTGAGATGGAGTGAGTTGGAGATGGTGCCTCCCTCAACAAAATGAAAATAGACTCTTCTGCATCCTCTTCCTAAATTCAAGGCTTCTGTTAAGTGCTTTACAAATTTCATGATTTTCTAGGGCTTCTCTTTTACGGGGAAATCACCCTTTGCTCCGTAACAATGCAGACGTGTTGTGTGCTTCCCTTCTTTTGTTTCTATCTCAGATTAGAAAGGAAGGTTGGCGGATTTGAGAAGGGAAAAGAATGATCTGGTGATGAACCATTCTCATCTCTTCTGGTAGATTCTTTCTAGACCGCTATGAGTCAGCCAACGATGGGGGGCGCTGCCCCCGCCACAGCCACAGCTTCTGCAGCCACCTCTGCCACTGAGGCTCGACTGCACCCAGAGGGCAGCAGCAGAAAACAGCAGCGTGCTCAATCACCTGCCAGACTAAGGGACAATTCGGTCCGACAGACAACCGCGACCACCCGGTCCCCCGTGGGGGCCGGCACTAAACTCAATTCTGTTCGACAGCAGCAGCTGCAGCAGCAGCAGCAGCAGGGCAACAAGACCGGGAGCCGCTCAGTGCCTCCGACCAGCGCCCGAGGAGGCGGAGGCGTGGCGGAGAAGGCTGCGCCCCTGGCGCCCAAAGGGGCCGCTCCGGGAACTGTCCATCTCGCGGCTGGTGCTGAAGCAGCCCCTGCGGCGACCCTGGCCCCCGTGGGCGGCAGGAGGCCTGGCCCGTCGGAGGAGCCATCCAGGGAGCTAGAGCCAGTGTCCGCTAAACTCGGGGAACCCCCTCCGCTCGGGGAAGGAGGAGGAGGGGGTGGGGAAGGAGGAGGAGCCGGCGGCGGCTCCGGTGAAAGGGAGGGGGGCGCTCCGCAGCCTCCGCCGCCGCCCAGGGGCTGGCGAGGGAAAGGCGTACGCGCTCAGCAGAGGGGCAGCAGCGGCGGGGAGGGGGCCTCCCCTTCACCATCCTCTGCGGGCAAAACCCCAGGCCCCGGCAGCAGAAACTCCGGAAGCGGTGTTGTGGGGAGCGGGAGCGGTGGCGGAGGGAGCTACTGGAAGGAAGGATGTCTGCAGTCTGAGCTCATCCAGTTCCACCTCAAGAAAGAGCGGGCGGCAGCGGCGGCAGCCGCGGCTCAGATGCACACTAAGAACGGCGGCAGCAGCAGCCGCAGCTCCCCGGTCGCTGGCGCCCCTGCCATCTGCGAGCCTCTTGCAATCCCTTCAGTCTCCCCAATGGCGGCGGCAGCGGAGGGCCCCCAGCAGAGCGCCGAGGGCAGCGCGAGTGGAGGGGGCATGCAGGCGGCGGCGCCTCCTTCGTCGCAGCCGCACCCGCAGCAGCTCCAGGAGCAGGAAGAAATGCAGGAGGAGATGGAGAAACTGCGAGAGGAAAACGAGACTCTCAAGGTGAGAAGGGTGGGGGGCAACCCCGTGGGGGAGGGGAGGTGTGGGTCTCGGAGGATTAGGGCGTGTCCCGCGAGGGTGAGAGTCTGTTAACCTGTTAGAGAGCCTTAAAAAGGGAAGGGAAGAAGAAACAAGAGGAGGGGGCTCCTAGGTCTTTTCTAGATTTAAAACGGCCTAAGATTAGTAGCCTCAGGTTTTAATTTAAATCCAAATTTGGGCCTTCGTTCTCTAATTATCATGGTTTGTCCCACTTTTTCATGCAGAGAGGTAGAGTAGGAGAGTGCGAGAAGGCCCAAAGAAGGCCCGTTTTTCTAGTTTCTTCTTCATTCAGCTCTGTCACTCCTGTCTCATGGAGAGGGGGCAATAAAACTGAGAATTTGGAGTTGGCATGGGGTACGTACGGTGCATGTCCGGGTGACAGGGGGCGAGGTTAATTTTGACCCACGGCCTGTCACCGCCTCAGAACGAGATTGATGAGCTGAGGACCGAGATGGACGAGATGAGGGACACTTTCTTCGAGGAGGATGCCTGTCAACTGCAGGAAATGCGCCACGAGTTGGAGAGAGCCAACAAAAACTGCCGGATCCTGCAGTACCGCCTCCGCAAAGCCGAGCGCAAAAGGCTCCGCTACGCACAGACTGGGGAAATCGACGGGGAGCTGTTGCGCAGCCTGGAGCAGGATCTCAAGGTCTGCAGCACCGGGGCTTGGGTGGGGGGTGGGGGGCACGGGGCAGGGGCGGCAGGTGAGAGAGACCTCTTTGCGAGGAAAGGCCTTTACTGGTCATTAGCAAAGACACGGAGTTTCGCAGCGCTAACCACGAAATACCCGGCTTCGGGGCAGGAGAAAGGGAAGAACAGACCACTGGGTCTGAAGGGTCTAGTGTGCGTGGAAGGCCTTGAGGAAAGCGAGGTCTGTGGGCTTTCCTGGGAGTAACGGTGACTCCTCCAGAGATGGTTGGAGGAGGGCGCCTCCCCCGGCAGAAACGCGGGCGTGGCAAAGCGCAGACTCTGGCGTTGGTAGATCTGTCCTCCAGAGGCTGTCTTCCAAGCAAAGGCCAGGTGAAATCAGGCAGTCAAGAGCAGCGCGATGAAGACTCCTGAAGGGAGAGGAATTGAAGACCAGAACAGGAACAGCGTTGGAAAGATATTAGAGTTAGGGTTTCTCGCTGCAAGTCACCCTAACCTCCTTCTTTCAGGACTCCTTCCTTTCTGTACTTTGCTAACTCCATGAAAGAAAATCTGCCCAAATTACCGCCCCTTGTGGAGAAGTAAAGAGCGAGTGCAGTAAATGAAAGAACCTCATTCTTTTTTTAAAGAGAGAGAGAGAGAGAGGAGGAAGCAGGATCCCCGCTGAGCAGAGGGCCCAATGCGGGGCTCGATGTAGGGCTCGATCCCAGGACACTGGGATCATGACCCAAGCCAAAGGCAGAGGCTTTAACCCACTAGACCACCCAGGCACCCCGAAAGAACCTCATTCTTAATGTGAAGCTGTTCCTTGAGAATTTCCCCCAGTGTGGAAATTTTAACCTTGAAATACGTTTTTTAAGTAGGTGTGGCCTGTTCGGTTCAGTTTGACTGTAGGCAGATTCACTGACAATGCAAACCAATGTTACCTTCATAACCTTGGACAACCAAACATAATTTTAATTATTTTAACTTCCTCAAGATATGAAAATCAAGTGTCATTATCCTATATTTGTTTTATAGAAAGCTGTGAGAAAACACTTAATGGAAGTCATTGTATTATTTTTTTTTCTTTTCCTAACATTTGTTGAGTGTTCACGATGCACCAGGCACTGTGGCAAGCATTCTTATATATAACAGTGAATTATCTCTCTAAATGTTAGCAGAAGACAAAAAAAAAAGGGAGGGGGACCTATGAGGTTGGAATTATTACTAACATCATCTTGTATGGAAGCTGAACTTTTTCAAAGCTAAAGTGCCCAGCCCCCAGCCCTGGGAATTGGCTAATAGGTGGCCAGGCTGTCTCCCCACCCAGTAGAAAACCACAGTCTATGTCCTGAGCCACTATACAATACCACGCCAAAGCAAAGGCAAAAATGTACACTGTAGTTAAAACAAAACAAAACTTAATCTCAAGGACCGATATATTTCCTAGGATTTCATATTTCATAGGATCAGAATTCAATCCTCACACTTCACCTGTGAAAACTTTGTTTTCTAGTCTTGAAAATGAGTAATAACAGAAATATATAATGTTGTTGTAGAATCAGAGGAGATACGTGACATTTCTCTACGCATGATGAATCACAGTTGAACATCTATTACGTGGTGTAGTGTAGAGGTTTAGGGAACAGAGTGAAGAGCCAGACTACCTGACCACTTGTTAGCTGTGTGACCTTGAGCATATTACTTCACATCTCTGAGACTCCATTTCCTCATTTGTAAAGTAGGAATAGTAATAGTCCCTATATCATGGGATTGTTGTGATGGTTAAATAATTTATATATGTGAGTGACTTATATATAAAGCATACTGGTATATGGCAGAAACAATTTGTATATCAACTCTTATTAGTTTTATTTATTTATTTATTTATGGCTCTTAGTAGTTTTAATGTGAATGTAACTTTAGCTCACTATTTTATTGTCTTTAATTATATATTATTGTTAAAACACTTTAACTTAGGTTGCAAAGGATGTATCTGTCAGACTTCACCATGAATTGGAAAATGTGGAAGAAAAGCGAACAACAACAGAAGATGAAAATGAAAAACTGAGGCAACAGCTTATAGAAGTTGAGATCGCAAAGCAAGCTTTACAGAATGAACTGGAAAAAATGAAGGAGGTTAGTATTTGATTATCTTATGTTCTGCTACATATACATTTAGTTCTTTAGAAAAGAATCCCCAGGACAAATATGACTGTTAAAATACTTCCATCTTTTAATGATTATAGATCAGTTTGTTGTTCTCACCCAATATACTAACAGATGCATGACTTCATACTAAATTAATAAGTAGCAAAGAAAAACTGACCTCAGCCCTACCTCTAACTTGATATATATGAGCTCTGACTGAGTTTCCATTCTGTCCTCTAAGTTCATGTTAAAGAGGGGCATCTGGGTGGAGCAGTCGGTTGAGCTCCTGACTCTTGGTTTAGGCTCTGGTCATGATCTCAGGGTTGTGGGATTGAGCCCTGTATGAGGCTCTGCACTCAGCCCGGACTCTGCCTGGGTTTCTCCCTCTCCCTCTCTCCCTACCCACCCCCAAATAAATAAGTAAATCTTTTTAAAAAATAAATAAATAAATTTATGCTAAAAAAATTACACAACTATACAAACACAAAGGATGTCCAAGATTACGAAGGACTAAGTCTTGTGTTGAGAAGAAAAAATAGTCCTCTGATTACTACTGAGTTCATAGAACTATAGACTTTTAGGATGAAATGCCATAAAAATCATTTAATTGAATCGAATTGAATCATTGCTTGAATCCTCCTTATGACAAAACCCCCAAATGATCAGATGCTTAGAACATTACCAGTGACTGACCTTTAAGTTCATTTGCATTAGCCAATTCTGTCACAACCTAGCTCTGTTTAAAGGTTTTCTTTGTTTTGAGTTGAAATCTATGTCATTGTAATTGAAATTGACCAATTCATCTTAGTTCTTACCCTTTAGGGTAGAGGGAAGAGTCAAGAGTCCTCTTCCACATCAGGTATTTGAAGTTTCTATTTCCCCTAAATTTTCTCAAAGAACAAAATTAATATCAAAGAAAATAATTGGAGGAGAAAAGAAACAGAAAGGATTTATCAAGAAGTGATTAGCTTTGTTATGGAGAGAGTGGTTGGGTTATGAACATCGGGAAGGTATGTGCTATGGTGAGTGCTGTGAAGTGTGTAAACCTGATGATTCACAGACCTGTATCCCTGGGGCAAGTAATACACTATATGTTAATAAAAATAATTAATAAAAATAAATAAAGAAAGAAGTAATTAGCTTTGTGATAAGTAGCAACTGAATTAAAATAATCATCTTTGAAAACTGCCTGAGAGTATATGTGCAACTTATGAAAATTATTGTTGAGAATTAGCAAATGCACAAATGGTCCTCTGGACATTGTCCTCTGCTTAAATATGCAGAATTTAAATGAAAATCCTAACCTTTCCATGGACTAACTGAATTATTGCACCTTGCATTGCTTTGCTTATCTCAAAATGGTATAAAAATATATTTACAATGTAACAGTGAAAAAAATATCAAGTCTGGTTAAGAATATGTGTCAGGAATTTGTATGTAATAGTTTCAGTGGGGTAAACTATTTTGTGATCTAAGTTTCTATTTATTATTATATTATCCTGATTTTAAACATTTTTTAACATGACAAATTAGGGCAAAACCATTTTCATGATATGTAATTCCTGGCTAATACCCAAGGACGGCTGTGTGCTACAGGAGGAAAACATGGAAACTGGGAGCCATGTGACCATCTTTACCATGTAACTAACTGTGTGACTTAAAAAGCTTCAAACTTGCCTCAGTTTATTCAGTTGTAAAATGTTGTCTTAATGATTCTCAGCATCTCCTGCAGCTATCATGACTTTTATCATGAAGTCCAGGACATTATCTTTAAAGAGTAGCATAGATTTTTTTTTTCCCTAATGTTAAGAGATTAACTATGAAATTATGTGAAGTATATGCTTCTTAAACAATAATGTACAGTTGAAATTAAAAAATGAAAAAAATTAATTTCCAGGAAAAACAAGGAAATAGGCAGCTTTACTAGTTTGATAGGGCAGCTGTATCGAAGTACTGCCAACTGGGTAGTGTAAATAATAGACATTTATTTTCTCACAGTTCTGGAAGCTGGGAGTCCAAAGTCAAGGTGTAGTCAGGGTTTACTCTCTAGGAGAGCAGGATCTGTTCCAGGCCTCTCTCCTTGGCTTGTAGATGGTTGTCTTCATGTTTACACTGCATTCTCCCTATAAATGCCTATGTCCAAATTTCCTCTTTTATAGACATCAGTTGTTGTAGATTAGGACTTACCTAATTGTAGGTCGTACATTGTAGATTGACTGCTTCTGTAAAGACCCTATCTCCAAAAAAGGTCACATTCTGTAGTACTCTGGGTTATGAATTCAGCATGTGAATTGAGGGGACCCAATTCATTCTATAACCATAGCAATTAAACACCTTCTTATAAGCAAGTAAAGAGAAAGTTCATTGTCAGTTACATTAGGCTCCATTCCATGTTCATACCGCACTTGCCTTCTCCCATATTCCTTGTTTATACAATTAAGAACATTCAAGTCAAAACAAACTTCATTTGATGACCAGGAATGAAAGAGAAATACTTTGTGATTTGGTATCATGTGAATGTTTTTTAAGTGAATATCTGAAAGTTGGATTTAAGAATGGCATAAGAGCTTCCTGATTCCATTCTGTGTCCAGAAAAGGGGAAAATGCCTGTAGACTATCCATTAGCCAGATAGATGGGACCTCTGCCATTGTAAAATAAAAGCCAGAATAGTCTGGCGACCAGGAAGGAGGGCTAGAACCTGAGAATGCCCTCAGGAGAATCACTGTAGAGATGTGTTTTGTTGATTCTGTTACCTAAACTCTTCCCTTAACTTTGTCAGTCAGGGCTCTGACTCTGATTTGGGAAAACATTCTTGTAGCATCAAACAATGTGGGTATATGTTCATGCCAAAAAGGAAATTCACATTCTCCTTGGAGTTCTAAAAGCCAAACTCCAGTCCCTGATTAGAGACTACAACAACAATAACAAAAAGTGGAGGGAATTTAGGAGCATGTATTCAGGATATTAGCTTTTAAAGTAACCTTTGATTAAAAAGATGAGCTCTACAATAGTATTCCCAGTTTGAGAAAGTGGGTGGCAGTGGAGAAAGGAAATAGAAATAGAGAGGAAGAACAGGAGAGTAGAAGACAAAGATCTGGGGGATTCTAAATGCAATAAAGGAAAAATGAAAAATATTCTCACAGGAAAGTTCTGAAATCATTCATTTGAGGTTAACCTTCATAGTGCTCAGAAAAGAGTCAGGAATAGAAAGGGTAGTGTAAAAATATATTTGGAAATCAGAAATGTCTCATTAAAATGAGATTCTTGTAATAACTTTGTTATCTTCCAAGAAGATCAGTATTAAAACTGAGTTGCAACATAAGTGTCTCACTGTGTGGGGTAAGAGCTGTGAGTTTGAAGGAGGAGTTGGCCTCGTGTGACTGACAGTTTCAGATAATCATCTGTTTACTTGGTTGTAAAATGAAAACCTATTCAAGTCCTTGGTGAGTGTTAATCACACAACTGTCATCCTTTGTGGCATTCTAATCAGTGGAGAAAACAGAAGGAGGCCAAACTTTCCATTACAAAGAAAAGACACTAGTTATGGAGTAAAATCATAAAATGTTAAGTAGAATATACTAGAGAGAAGCAATGCTCTAACTCTCAGTTTTTAGTTTCTTATATGGAGTCAAATAGATGTTGAACTGCACAACTGGGACCAATAGGCCATCTGCTGGAGTTTGGAAGCCATTTATTAAGAGTTTAATTGGCTTCAAGGGTGTTGACCAATTGCTCTCAAGGCTAGTGGCTACACAAGGTCCTCTGCACCTGCTCACATCCATCTGCTTATCTTCTTCCTCTGAGAGTACAGAGTAGGCACTGGGGTAAGAAGAGTTGAGTAGAGGCAGGATAGAGGTAATTAGACAAGTCTACTGCAACTCATTGCTTGTACTGAAACTGGTATTCTGCCAGCTGCAAACAAGAGGGACCTCTTAGGATGCAGCCTTAGAATCTTAATGGTATTCTCATCCGATTACAAAACATTGATTGCTACTACCACTATGCTTTCTTGCAGTAGAAAAATGCCTTTACTTTTATGTAACCCAGGGAAAATGACGGTTTTTCAGCATCACAAGCAACCAGAGACAGGTTTTTACAAAAGTTATTTCATGGAAACTACAACTCATGGTTTGAATGCCAAGACAGGTTAATGCACAAATAGCATATAGTGAAGATATGGAGGAGGCTCTCTGAGGGCCGAGTGTCTGCTATAGCTAATTGAAGGTCACTGCCCTTCATGAAGTCCTTCTTCTGTAGGAAGAAACTTTACTTTGAGAGTTCTGAAACCCTTGTGCTCTTCAGAAGGGAGGGGTCTTCTCATGTCGCCTTTAAGATCTGACACTTGGAAAAGCATTGGTAACAGACATTTGAGGAAAGAAATGGACCTTTGAGGTTGGTTGGAAAGGAAGAAAGAGTAATGATGATGATGATGATGATGATGATAAATGATTATTTGATCCTTTTTATTTCAGAATCTATCTTCTTTGTGTTGTTTCATCCCTGAACCTCATGCAAGAGTCTTAAAATAATTTTCTTAACTTTTCCTGGTCTTTGCCCTAGAGGGCTCTTAATTCGCCTACTGCAATAGCACTATCTATCTTGGGACTTTTGTTTTCTGTGCACTTGGTTAATATATCCTATCTATTACAGTGAACTCTCATTCTAGAACACAAAAATAATTAGTACCATAAATTTCAACAGTAGTGTCTTTTTTTTAAGTATATAAAGAACATATCTGTTTACTCAGACTCTCTTTACAGACAGATCGCTAATAAATAAATTCTTGTCCTGCATGTTTAGTATTGCCTATTTATTTTTTGATATAAAATAAATAAGTGTAACTTTAATTGGTTTTGATAGGGTATGTTAATCTAAGTTATAAAGTTCAAAAATGAAATGCCGAGTGATAAATCAGTAAAGAAGCAGTCCAAGAGATGGTTTTAAGGGGGAATTTCTTTGGCATTCAAATATTTTCCCCCTGGTTCTG